TATGGCTAGTTCGGTTCCCGGCCCGCACGGCTTGCCGCTCTTTTTGCCCATTTAACAAGTATAATCTTATATTGATACGTAGCCTTTTCATATATATATGAAATATGTTTTATTTAAACCGAAAAAAAAAAACCAATTGGCCTCTCAGACGTAACTTCATTGACTTTATTGTATTTATGATGGACTTATGCTGGCCGTTGGATATAGAAAAAAGACAAATACAAACTTGTGTTTTATGCACAACAATTTATAAAGCTAGCTTCGTCCTTTTTTTTGGCTCTGAAAGTTTTGAGCCTGAAACAATAAATGCAGCAGCTACGACTCGAAACGCACAACTTTTTGTTTCTCCAAGCCGCACCAGTGCGAAATGAGCCCAATGCTGTCCTATACCATTTCTTAGCTACCTGCTGTGGTTACCGTGTGGCTATATTTTGAATCAGAGGAAAATAAAGAGAGAGAAAGGTAGCTGCACACGTTAGTTTGGGGAATTGCAAATAAATATTTCAACTGCAGTTGCAGATTATTTTTGTGCTGCGACTGCTTGGAAACTAGAATGCGAATTCTCTCCAAATGTTGGCCAAAAAAAAAATAGAGAAAAATATATGTATGCATGGGGTACGTGGAACGGAGCAAACAAAGCCAAACTGCTGAGACAAGGAGAAACAGCGCTGGCAACGAGAAACAACTCAGCTTAGATTTCTCCGGGGAGCTATGATAAAGTGCACACCACGGCAAACGGCATAATGAAGACAAATAGAGGAGAGAGGAGTTGGGTTTTTGCTTTTTGGCTTGGATTTTGCCTTTTATAATTTCAATTTATTTGCCTTCGATTCTCAACTGCGGAAAACAAAAATCACTCGCCGCTTACTGGTCTCACTTTCGATTCTGATTGTAGTTCCTCAGGTAAATGCCGGCAGCAGCCTCCTGGAAGTGCCTGCGTCGCTTGTTCTGCAGCAGAAGCGAGAGCAAGTGCTTGGTGCTTAGGCCACGAGCTGCCTGCCGCTCCAGCAGCGCCAGCTCATCCTCGGCCAGATCCTCGTCACGCTCCTCAGCGCCATATTGGGCCAGTGGCGCTTGGGCAGCGGCCATTGCAGCTGCTGCTGCTGCTGTCTCCGACTCATTCTCCGCTGCATTGATCACATCCGTATCATCCTCCTGGACATTAAGACCCTGTAGTAGATCAATAATAGGAACGGCATTGCGACGCAAGCCACCATTTCTGCCGGTAGTAGTGCCCGCAGCTGGTGACGTAAGATTCTGCACATTATTCGGGTTGATGATGATAATCGAGGGTCCTCCACCTCCACCGAAATAGTCGTTGAGTCCAGGAATCTGGAAGGGTGGACGCTGTGGTGTCGGTGGGTACGGGTATGGATAGTAGTCGGGATAGTAGGGACGACGATGATTATGCCTGTCGGATTCATCCGAATTGGGTTGCTGCACAATGACGATCGGTTGTTGCGGTTTGTTTTCAGAGCGTCTGTTCCAAAGCAGTAGACGTGGCTGAATCGCAGAAAGTGCTGTTCAAGAAAGGAAAAGGATGAAGAAAGGCAATGGAAAGAAAAATTAATTTGTATAAAACACAACTGGAAGTACAACCAAAAAAAAATTCTTTTATCTAACCAATTAAAGTTGGAAATTGAAAGAAAATGTTGATCAACTTTTACGAACCATCTACCTAACGATATCATTTGAAACTGAATCCACAAACTTTTTAATCTTTAATTCTATTGTTTCTCAATATCTTTCTTTATTCTCTGGATTGATGATTATGTTTCTGGCTAGTAAATGGCGCTGAATAGTGCCCTATGTATTTAGGGGGCCAGGGTTCCAGTCTAAAGAGTCTCAATTGTACTCAAACGATCAGGTATTCAGGATCGACTTTTAGAAGTATATCCATACACGAATCCAATGTTGCTTTAATAATCCAGCTCTGTTTTCTGTTTAATCCCAGCCAGAGTTTGCTCCTTTAACTCACCAGCATTATGTCCAGAGGCTTCTCCGGAGCTGATGTGACTGGCAGCGTCGATGGCCATGCAGGCAGCTAGGAGCAAGAGACTTGAAAGAGAATGCTTAAACATCTTGGTAGCTTCAGTGGGTGATGATGACTGTGCTCCTAAAGACGATCACAAGGGGCTTATATAGCACCTGCGTGTGTAACTGTAACACGTAGAACCTCACACACACTGCCTGCTTTCTAAGTGTTTTCCCGTTTTAGTGCCATTTCGCTGTAATCGTTTCGCCCAGGCGTCAAGTGCTAATTCGATGGATGATCTATTGAGCCGAATGCTTGTTAATATTATCGCCTCGTAAATCAATTTCAAAGCAATGTCTGCTGCTGCTTTGTCTGTTTATTGCAATCGTAAAATGTTTCGGAACTGGACTGTCTCACAATACTTTTATTCTTTTAGCGCAACTCTTTGACCGAGCTTATGTTTATGTTTTGCATTTGGCCGCTTTCATGATCGATTTAGCATTAAGTTGATAGTGCGTGTGTGTGTGTGTATATGTGTGTCTGCCTCGGGCCAACAGCGGGCGCTAATTTGTTTAGTTTACGAGTAGATCAGATATTTATGGCCTGCAATTGTAGGCCGCCTGGATAATTTGCAGGCCGGCAAAAGGCCATTGGCCTTTAACGTCGCGCTGTGTACATTGAACTTGGGAAATTCTGTCTCGCATCTGAAGTTTTCGAAAGGTGCGTAAGATTGGCCCGCATGTGATTCTATTTAGACGCAAGAATGTTTCACCAAAGTTGAGGCTGCGGCCATTCCATGACACATGCCAAACATTAATTTGAAAGTGGCAGTTGAAATGGTGCTTTATATTTCGAAGTAGGGCGATTTTGTTTAACGATAGTTGAAGATGATTTTATTACCACTAAAAACATTTAGACTAGTGCAAATTGTTATAAATGTTGGGGCATATTATAAAAGAAAAGGCTTTTGATCAATTTTTATGTGCAAGTTCTACATACCTACACTTTTCTCTGAATTGCCATTGTCTATTCAAAAAGAAGAAATGGTTTTCGTTTATCCAATGTTTCACAAATTCCAAAATCATCGTCGCCAAATAGTTAATGGTTTGATATATATTTTGGCTATACTCTTACAGATATGTTACAAAGTCTTTTTATTTTGTTTAACAACCCAAACATTAGTTTGCAATCTCCTGCTGTGCGTCCCATATCAATTTTCTTGTACGTTGTCCCCATAATAAATCCATTTCCTTTCTTACGGCTGAGTAAATACTAACTTGGCAATGTAAAAGCTTCACCAACTAAAAAGTAAATGGCAAACAGCAAATAATATCAAACAATATCCGTTGCCATATACGACTAATAAAAGTGAAAGCCGACGTCATCCTTTGCAATCAGGGACCAGAGGCAACAATAAATCCTAGATACACATAAAAAAATAAAAAAAATACCGCCACACATGAGGTAAATATTATTTAAAAAACCAAAACACGTAGGCAACACAAAGTACAAATCGCACTCAATCAAAATCACCTCGAGACCACACCAAAGACACCAGCGAAAGCTTAAAAGATGAAATCCTCTGAAAGTTGGAAGGACTGGTACAAGGAGATCTCTCTCCCCCTCACTTCCTCTCTCTCTCTCTCCATATATAGCTCTGCCTTGGCCAGACTGCCAGCAGCAAAAAAAGTATAGCAACAATTGAAGCAAAGACAAATTCAACACAGAAAACTGTCATGTACGAGGATTTAACAGATTTAAATTCTATTTGGCAAACGCTGCAAGGACTGGGCGAGAGCACATCCTTTTGTTGGGTGGCCCGCACAGGGCACGCTCCGAGTGCTGTCGTTTAATATTGACCAAAGGCTTTCTCGCTCTCTCTGTCTGTCTCTCTCTCTCTCTCTCTCTTTTTTGCTACTGTTTTGGCAGTTTTGTGTGGGCTAATATGCTAGCCACGCCATGTGGCAGTGTTGTAGCTTTGTTGGGCTGCAGTTGCTTCATGCCAGGCCAGGCCAGCCACTTAGCCCACATTAAGAGGCGCCTCGTTGTAGCAGGCCATGTGCAAATATTTATCGATTGGCATGACAATCCAATTCGTTATGCTTAAAACTACGGGCGCCATGTGTCCAACTGCCTCACGAGGTGCCAATTCATACACACACACGCACACACATGTACACAGAGAAGGAGACGGGCTGAAGGAAGTGGCACAGAGCTTCCCTTTTTGGGATATTAAATGAAAAATCAGCACATCCAGCACCTGCCCAACCTGGCTTCGTCTCGTGCCTGGCCTATTTTGCATGTGTGCCAGCATTTTTACGCAAATTGGCAGTTAAGACAGATTGGCCCGACGACTGGACACAAGTGGGTGTGTGTGCTCAAAAACCTCATCTCAATTGGGGCTTTGCATTTGTTTTGGCAGCAACAGCAGCAGCAGCAGCAGCAACTTGGCTAACAAGTGTTTTTTGTGGTAGGCTTTGGCACTAACTGTGCTTTCAGTCTGGCTCTTAATTAAAGTTGTTGTGGCTACCGTCCAGAGCCGAACGTGTTAATCTGCTGAAAACTGCAGGCGGTCACTGGAGCTCTGAAGACACCACATTGGCAAGGACAAGATAAAAGTATATAAGGACTGATTTATAACACACAACAGCCCAAATAGCTGGCTTAAATGGAGGTTAAGCAATATTTCCAAATAGTCGAGTTCAATATGGGCGCTTTTTCGACCCACAACCAAAAAATAAAACCTCGATAAGGGAGGACTGACAAAATGGTCTGAGTCAATTGAGTAGCGTAGACGGCAAACTGAGTTGTTAGGAGTTCGAATCCCCGAGAAGACAAAAGACAGAATTTGCAAAGATCAACTCTGAATTTTATGTATTTTATAACACTTTAAACTTTGCCAATACTGGAATCAATTGTTTATGGTCAAAGTAACTGTTGAAATCTAAATACAAATTATCAAAATATTTTGGCGAGGATCTAAGTTATAATCAAACAATGTATTTAAAAAGCTGCATACACTCACCTTAAAATATGTAGGGCACATAGTGCATCCACAGTGGATATGATTGAATGAATAAATGTTAAACGTTTGCAGAAATGGATATGAGCATGCCATTGATAAAAGGCCTCCAAGTATGTGCTTTAAAATGATTTCTCCTCTTGCCAATGATACATTTGCGTCTCTGCAACTGCTGCTTGAGTGACATTTGCTGCCTCGATATGGCCAAGTCGCCTTGGAAAAGGGCATTTCCAGCCATTTCCGGCGCGTTGCGTGTGTGCGTCTGTGTTTTGTGTCGCGTTGCCATTAGGCATCCGCCGCTGGACAGCAGCAGAACAACGCCGGAGCCTCCAAGCAGCAGCAGCAGCAGGAGCAGCCGGAGAAGCTCTCAGCTGCCACTCAGCACAAATTTTCGGCAGCATGCTTTTCCGGTTTGCGAACGCAGCAGCGCGGCCGGCGATTCTTGCGCGCCGTTCAGCTTCCTGCTCCTCCAGGCCCAGCCCCCTCAGGATCACTCTAGTTCAATAAGGATTTCCGTTTCAATTCGTGCGCTGCGCCATTGTTGCTCTCAACTTCGCAGTCGCCATCGCAGTCGCCGTCGCCGTCGCAGTCGCTGCTTTTGCTGGCGTTGTCCATTTTCGTTTATCGAATTTTTCACTTTGACGACCTTTTGGGCAGAGGCTCGAGTTTTTACACTTTTAGCAACAATTTCCTTGGCCCGTTCGCCCGCTCGCCCTTGCCTTTTATTATTTATTTATTTTTGTGCTGATTTCATGCGTTTGCCTTGCGACTTTTCGGCTGCTTTTTGTGCTTGATTTGCTTTCCAATTTTCAATGTGTCACTTTATGAGCGGGACCATTAATCAAAAAACAAGAAAAAAGAAAACCCAAAGAAGAGGCGAACCTGAAAAGAGCGTCAAGAAATTATTGCTTAAATAAGCGTGTTTTCTTTTTATTATTTTTATATAGAAAAGGCAGACCTTGTGAATTGAAGCGACCACAAAAATGTTCTGAGTTGGCAATTCTGAAAAAGTTTTTCACCCCTGCCACGTTAGCGCGTTTCTTATTGATTTTGTTTTTCATGCGTCATTTGGCTGGCGTTTTGCATGCAGCACCCAAATTGCGACGCCTCAGTGGACTGAGACAGTCTTGAGTGCATAATTTATAGAGTTTAGCGCAATGAGCGCCACATTTAAAAAACAACAAATCAATTACAAGGAAGGCTGAGAACGCGCCGCTGTCAAAGACTGACTCAACATCTGCGGATGTGGGAGGGTATCTGTGACAAAGACATCAGGGAAGTTCAAGAAAAACCTTTAGTATGCGAAGTACGTTTTGTGGAAATGGTTTACATTAATTTGCATTATTTAAATTATCCATCTACTTAGAATTGCATTTATAACAGCAGCTATTACTCTTATATATGCCTCATTTCTGATAAGTAAGTTTACTTTATGATTCGTTTTTAGTTAAATAAGTTAAATATCAAACAATTTTTTTTAAGAAATTTATTTATATTTTTAATGCCGTAAGCAGCACGTTGCGCACTCATAAAAACTTGACTTTATATTATAAATAGAAAATACATCAATATTGATTGCTAATCAATTTTAGTCTTGTTACTACCTGTATATAAATAAAATAAAATAATATTATGAAACCTAATTTAAGTTTATATACTATACTATACTAAACTATAATCGTATTAGGCCCCTAAAATATATCAAATAATCTCTACATTTAATTAATCCCCCACTAAGCTTTTTAATGTACATATCTATCAAGAACTTCCCACGAACAATAAATCACATTTAGCAATCTAATTGTGCTATAACATGTTTATCTATAAAACCAAACTACCCACTCTGAATAAAACTCAGTTCAGCTGCCACTTTGTTAGTCGGGATCTTCAAAGACAAACGCATCTGGCAAGTGGCGAAAAAAAAATTAAAGAAATTTTAAAACAGCTCTTGTACAACATGTCGTATGCGGAATGGGGTGGAGCAAAGGCAAAAGCAAGACGAAGACCAAAGCCCAAAGCCCAAAGACAAAGACATTCCCGCTGTTGTCGCATTTCTTTTGCAAGTGTCAAGTGTCAACGGCAAAATGATTAGGTAGGCGTTTCCAACAACAACAGCAACTGGTACTCTTGGCTGGATTTGTGGGCGTGTTTCTTGTGTCTCTTGTGCGACTCTGCCCCGAAAAGCTATTAAACCACGGCCTGGCAGCAGCGACTGCCAGTCAGGATAGGCAAGCCAATGGCCCCCATTCTCCACGCTTCCTTCTTTTGGCACTGTCAACGCCAGCTGCGACTCGACTTCAAATTTCCCAGTTCGCAGTTCCCCAGGTCGCAACTCAAACTCCAACTGGGGCACCGACTACGGATACAGCTGCAAGTTGCAAGTTGCAAGCTGCAAGCTGCAACTTCCATTTAGTATTTTAGTTTATAGTGCAGTTTTGATTTCAAAATATTATGACGACTGTTAAAGTTATAACTTTACGGCGAACTCATTCAACTTGAAATTGAAATAATTTTTAGCACTCGCTTTGCTCTGTCTGGCATTCTGCTTTTTATACTTTTTATGTCTTCATCATTCATATTTATGCATTTTTATTTTAATTTCGCCTGGCACTTGGCTCTTCTAACTAGTCGCGACTCCACCCACTCCCACAAAGGTGCCATCGCCTCGCCCGCAGACAGGCGGCATCTTTTTCTAGCCCCATGTGCGTGGGGGGCGTGTGTGTTGTGCCTCCCGGCACACTCCCACCACAGTCACAGCCTGGAGCCATTTTGACAGCTCTTTGGTGAGTGGCTGCCAGTCTTCTGCCAGTCGTCCGGTGAATCGTTCACATTTATGACTGTTAGGGCCAAAGGTTTTTGTGTTTTATGAGCTGAAATTGTTGTGCAAAAAGCAAACGACATGGCACCAGAATCGTAATGCCAGCCCAGGTTGTTAAAAGTAAGCACAGCGAGCTCACAAATGGGTACGGAAAAAATGTTACATAAATATGTAAGCTTTATATAAGAAAAAACTGAAACGATAACTTCAGCTGCCCACGTTGTGAAAAATGTAACTAACAGTTATGATTTATTTTTAATAATTCAGATTCAATGCTCATAAAAAAGTAATCCGTATATGCAATATGAATATGTAGTGAGGCTCTCAAGATATTATGGAAGCAACAGATAAATATATATTGCAATCGTGCTTCAATATGTTTTATATTTCCCCAAAGCTTATACAAAAAGAGAAAGCAGGGAAAACTAGCATTTTTTCGGCCGTGCAGCCAGAATAAATGTATCTATAAAACTCTACTTCAAATGAAATCAATTCGCATATCTTTCGATATTTTAACTTTACCAACTTGCATTAGCCCTTTATCAATCTGCTGAGCGTTAACAGCTCACCATTCAAATGAACACTCCCTTGGACACATTTCGGACACTTTTTTGCAGGCATGGTCGCCGCATATTTCACGCCTAATCATCAACTGCAATTTCCACGGCCCCCACAACCTACGCAAAAAAAAAAGGCAAACACTTCACACTCGCTGGCACAGGGCGATTATTATACCCCAGGCCCAGCGTTGTTGAGGATGTGTACGATGAGGCTTCAGAGTTTGCCATTTACATGGCCATAAAATATAAGCCAGGCAGGGCGGCAAACGGAAAACTTTCGCTGGCAAAGCGAAAATTCCCAGAGCCATAATTTTTAACACAAAACGTCTCTGACGCCGCATAATTGCAGCGTAATTTTTGCGCAATTAATTTCAATGTCTGGCCACGGAGCCCTCTCTAAGCCATAACCTTAGCCAAGAAGTTAGCCAACGCGAACTGCAACAACAACAACAACAGCAAACTGCAACTGGCCAACAGACGCTTGCTTGGGGGAGTGAGCTATGTCCGGCAGACCCAAGCTAAGCCAATGGCGTTGAATTGTTTGCCATATTCGCATGTGACGATTTTTCTTTTTCTCTATGCATTTTTTTTTCTCCCCAAAACGACCTCTGCGACCCAGTCGCCTTGTGCGACTTTTGTATGCAATTAACAAAAAACACAATGCAAAAATTTGTGGGTACAACACTTTGCACTTTCCGTTGTACTCGAAGTCGTCCTAGTCGTCGTCGTCGTCATCGTCGTCTACAGCCTTGTCTGCTGCCTTTGACCATGAGATGCTCTTTTCAAAACATTTACAGTGGGGTATAATTCTTGGGTCAAACACATTTGCAACTCAAGTAGCTGACAGTACTCAGGAATTTAGTCCAGTATAATATAATTATTTGTCAATAACTATTAATTGCAAATTAAAGTATCGCTATTATTTACCTTTAAAAATGATATATATTATTCTCACAGTTTAATTTGTTCTATTCAATTATTGGAAGAAATTCATCTTGGGCCAGGGATCGACTTTATACATAAGAAACATGTATTCACATTGCACATTTCTAAAAATGATTATTGCAATATTTTTTTTGTTAATTGGGTTGAATTTTATCCCAAGGATAACCTAATGCTATAATATAATACTAATAATCTCATACTAAGCCAAGATTAATATAACTTTTCCTCCAACAAATTCTATTATTCAATATTCTTTTATTTTTTATAGAGCACTCAACTGTCGATGCATTTTTGCTACTTGTATTTCTAGTAGCTAGCTTTTAATTTTCATGTGGCAAAAAACTGCGTCCATTATACAAAAATATTTTTGCCAGTTCTTTGGTCGTCGTCACTTTGCAGCATTCCAATGATAAAGTGTTTTTTGTGTCGCTGCCGCCGTCGCCTGGCACGGAAAATATATATTAAAGAAAATGTTAAAAATTGCTAAAATGGTTTTTCTATTGTTCTGTGGCCGTTGCCTGCATTTTTTCAGACGCGCTGCAGTAAAAAATGCCAGGCAAAAAATTGTTTATTACATTTTTAGCTCTGCACAGAGGCGCACGGTAGAAAATTTATGCCCGACATTGAATGGTATGCAAGCCAGGGACCCAGGGGAGCTGCCCGGTGCTGCCGGGCCCGACCAAGGGCAGCTTTTGGCCCTGAAGCTGCGCTTTGGCTAAATTATGGCATATTTATTCGCTGGCAGGATGGCAGGATGGCATTGAACTTTGCTTGGATGTCATTTCAGCTGGTTAGGAACTGCGTGTCTTAAACCCATTGAGAATGTGACTTGCACAAAGTGTTTGCCATTGAGACAGCAACTAGGAAAGTGTTAAAAGCAAACTAAACAAGATTTAAAAGCTTAAACTTAGTATACATAACGACAAAAGGTGAGCTGCTTTTACAAAAACTTGTTAAACGTAGAAAACAAGGCAATTAAACCACTTGTCATGGGATGAAATACAAAAATAAAATAAAATAAATATTAAAAGGAATATGGTTAAGAATTGACAATTGCTTTACTTATGATGTGATCAGATGTCATCAGAATAAAAATGTGCCTCAAATAGGACTTGGATAATACTCAGACTCACTCGCATGCTACATTTAATATTAAATAAAATTTATTTTTAGCTACTTATAGCCGCAAAGTTCTAGTCTTGAAACTATTTAATAACTTTTTTTTGGTTCAATAATTTTTTTAATTAGGAAGTTATTTTTATTATGTTGTGGCCGCTTAAATAATACTATCACAATCTTGTCTAGAATTTACACCCATTTGTTTGCTCTCGTTTAGCACTTCTCTCCTCCTACTCCGGACGACGACTACTTAGTCTCGCTTGAGTTCCCACATAAAATATCCATAACATTAACCACAATTACGATGAAATTGTATACCCAAGGAAAATTGCAGCAAGCGAAAAATAAAATGCTTTTGTTGTAATTTTTTTTTTCTTTGCCGCCCACAAAGCCCAAATTAAAAAATGGTTAAAAAATATTTTTCTATTAATTTTCCAAGCTGTCCTTTTTTGCGCTGACGCTGGCGTTGGCGTCGTCAACATGTGTTGCATGTGGCAATTAAATGCCAGGCAACACACAACAGCAAAAAGAAAGCAAAAGCAGCAGCAACAGATACAAGCAAAGAGAAAGAACTGCTTTCTTTGGCAACCCGAAGATCAAATACCCTTTTAGACAAGTACTGCAATGAGAAAAGAAAAGCTCAGAATTTGTAGAGCTTGGTTTAGATATCTGGCAAATCAGCAAAGTTTTCTATGCATACACTTAAGTAACAGCCGATTGTTTCTATAGAGTTAAGGAATACAATATCATCGTCGCCAACTTTGTGAAGATATTTTGAAAAGCAAAAAAGTTTTTTGTACAGGAACTAAATCCGACCGTATGCGATACATGTACCATCTACAACATAAAATCAAATCGGCTGCTGATCAAGAATATATACTGCGTGGGGTCGCAGACATCACCTGCTATGTGTTACATATTTTATGAGAAAATAATAATACCCTGTTCTAGGGCAAAGAAACAACTTGAATTGCATCGTGGGGCTGCTGGTGCTGCCTGTTGGGCGCGTAATAATTTTTGGCGCAGAGTCTCGCGTCTTGGAGTGCAAATAAAATGCCGCTTTTTAGTGACTCAGTTGGCGGCAGTCGGCCGGCAGTTTGGAGAGTGCGAAAATAATATGGGCAGGCCGCAGGCAACGGTACTTCAGCGAGCAGCTGGCAAAGCCGGTGCGGGGAGCTAGACTGAAAGCAGTGTGGAGAAGTGCCGTGGAGCTTGGGGTTGTGGGACTCGGAGCCCAGGCATAGAAAACTAAATGAATGACATGCCAGGGCGTCTGCAATGTCTGTCTGCGAGAGTGCAGAGTGTAGCCGGGGCAAGGCAACGGTGCGGACTGGGAACGGGGCAACTTGCGGTCGAACGCCTGCCAGGGACCGTCTGCGGCGCTGGCTTCAATTAATTTTCGACTTGGTTATTGTTTGCGGGTGTTAATGGTGCACGTTATCAGCGGTGCAGCCGGGGGAGAAGCTGCAACTAAAGCCCTGGCCGGGTGGTGCAGTTAAGCTGCAGCTGCTTCGGGCAGTGGGCTATGTGGCGGCTGCTACTGTTGACGCTCCGCCGGCGACGGTTATTGTTAAATGTTTTGCTAGCATTTGTTGCCTGAATTATAATCTCTATGTATAAAGCTGTGAGTCCTGACTAACTGACTGATTGGCGATCAACGCGCAGCCCAAGTCGTAGCAGTTAGTGTTAGTGCATGTTAAAACAAGGTTATTGGACATTCCACCAGTGAGTGTGAAAAATTCATGGAAAGCGGATTAGTCAAAACTTTTTTGTTAAACATCCGATCGGCTTTAAATTCAATTTCAAGGATTGCTAAGGAATAGACGTGGCTGGAAGATTCATGTCTAAAATTGTAAAACACTAGCTAGCTAATAATAGAAATTTAATTAACTATGCATGAAGGAAATCAAGTGCATTTTCCTTTCCATCATTGCGCTGCATATTATTCAAATTTATGTCTGTCATAAACTTAGCACAAGGCAACTGGCTTAGATCTAAATGCTATAAAACTAAATTATTGCTATAATAAAATAATTTTAAAAGATCATATCTCATCTGAATCTTTCACACATTTTGCATATCTTGAAGAGGACACACCCCAGCCCCTCGCCCATCATCGCTAACCGAGTGCACTTTGCCAGTCATATGGCTACCAAGCTACGCGCTTCGACCTCTGTCAACTGCATGCTCTGACCCAATGTCCGCCTCCGATGCCTTCCCTGAACCTGCCCCATAGATCGCATCACGTTGAAAAGCGACGCCGCTTTTCACGCATCTGTTTTTTTTTTGTTGTTGCGCTTTCGTCACATAAAAAAATTTGCATTTGACTGCGGCTACCGAAGAAACGGTGCCAGTGCCAGTGCCAGTGCCAGTGCCAGCCCACAGACAGATAACCAACAACCCAATAGCGGTTCCCCAGCTGGCCCCCCTCACCTTTTCTACAAGTCAACAAAGTGGAGCCTTGGCGAAGCGACCAGCTGCTGTTTCATTGCAATTGCAACTACTGCGAACATGGAGCGCATTAAAAGGCCGACCCGTGGCCATAAAAACTATGCGACTCTCTGTGTTCAAGTGGCGGCTGGCAAATTTTATGCCTTTTATTTGGGACTATGCCGCCAACAACAACAACAACAACAACAACAACAACAACAACAGCAGCAGCAACAACAACGACACCAAGAGCGACAATAACAACAACGAGTGCGACAACAACAAGGCACATTTGCAACTTTGCTGCCACTTCCACTGTCAAGTTGGCGTAAAATTTTTCATTTCGCATATGAAAGGAAGTGTGGGCGCCAGTTTGGGGCCCCCAACATCACCCTGCTATGGGCTCCACTCTCGCAGCCACAGATACCATAACAGATACCCAGGCCACAGCCGCAAAACGGCCTCAACGTTTGTCGTTTAGTTTTCTTCTTTATTTGAATTTTTTTCTTAGCTTTGGTTTTCTTTTTGCATTTTATTAATTGCTTGAGTGAATTCGCGTCGGCATTTGCCGCTTGCCTGCAAAAAATTTCCTTTGTGTTTTCTCGCTTTTGATCTTTTTCGAGACACTTAAGCATAGACTTTGAATATGGCGAACATGGAAACTATCATGATAGAAATTAAAAAGTGCTTTTAATAGAGATTGCCCCGATATGAATGGTACTGAAATAATATGAGAGTGTGAATACTTTTACTCTACACTACTTTATAGTGAAGCCTAACGAGAAATGAGTCCTTATGAAGCATTTTCAATTGTAGTCCTAATTAAATAATTTACCATCCACTTATTATTATTTACATTTTAATAAAAATATAATTTTTCCAGCAAAGTAAAGTTACTTTATAACGAGTCCAAAAGGTTAAAGGAAAGCATTTTTATAAAATTAATTAATGAACAAATATATCAATTGCAAAATGTAATTTTAACTGTATTAAATATGCATTAAGCAGAAAAGTTTACGGAATTATATTTATTATTGGTTAACTGAAAAGTTACACTACACTCATGCAGCGTGTATAATAATTAATGTACGTCAAATTAAGTATGTAGTTTAGTTTAATTAATTACATACTAATAAAAGAAAGAAATTAAAATTGTCGAAATGCTAATAATTTCTATAAGCATAAGGCGAACAACTCCAAATGCAGGGTAAGAAGACCTCTTCAAATGGTTTCTTCATGTAATGAATCTAGGCGTTCTTCTTTTTTAAAGAATTAAATTCGACTCTCATGTTACGACCGTGGTCAAAAAGGCCAGAATTGTTTGGGGTTTCATCAAGCGATGATCAAAGGAGTTTGACGACCCATTTCATATCTCTGCTACGACCTATTCTAGAGTATGCCTCATGTATCTGGTCGCCACAATTTTCTATTCACCAATTGAATCTGTACCGAAACAATTCTTGTTGTTTGGCCTTCGTGGTTTCAGCTGGGATCCTTGTGTGCAGTTATCGTAATACTCCAGTAGACATCTGATGATTAATCTTCCTTCTTTAATTAATCGTAGAAATATGCTTGGTGTTATATTTATTCAACAGTTAATTACGGATAAAATTGACTCTTCTGGGTTGACTAGCCAACTAAGCTTCTCTGCGCCTACTAGACAAATACGTTTTTTCAACTTTTGTTCAACTAACTATGCCTTGCAATAACCGTTCCGAGTCCTCTGTGATGATTACAACAATCATTATAAAGTATTCTGCTCTGAGTGTTCTCTTCCTAGAGTCATCTACTTTAAACTATTAAGCAAGTAGATAGTAGATAGTCTTAGCCCATAGTCTTAGTGGGGTGGGATGCAGCCCATTGCATCGGGATTCGAACGAATGTTTTGAATATTTCAGAGATTGGCAGTAAATATAACTTTCCAAACCTATATCTAAGTACCTTAAGCCTCTCGCCCAATTAGTCCAACTTTGATTTAGGTTTTATATTTAATATGAATTGGCCTTTGATTTCTACAACTTTCACTGTTTTCTCCTGATGTCAACAGTTACAGTGCCTGCAATAAATTTGACTATCGCGTGTAGACTTTTGCCAACTTTAATTTTGGCTGCTTAAAACTTGGCACGGTCCTTCGTTGTTGCAGTCTTTGTTGTTGTTGTTGTTGTTTTTGTCGCATTTCCGGCTGCCTAAAGGGCAAACATCAGACTGATGCCATCGCATGTCCCCTTGCACGGGTCCCAGCATTTTCGTTGAGTTTTTCGCGCTGTTTATATTTTTGTATTTTGACACGTTTTGGCATATCGCTGAGCTGGGAGACAGAGTAGGGGCTTTAGGTCTGACATTTTACATAAATTTTGCTTGCTCAGAGCTCAGAAAATCGTGCCGAGGAACTGCGCAACGTTGGCAGCGACTGTTGCCAGCAACTGCCACATGACTTGCTGTCATGTGACAAAAACGCGACAGTTTGCAAGGTCACGTCACATTAATTTGCTGACAATGATGTATTTAGAGGGCGCAGTGGATGGTATAGAAACAGTGAGCCAGCTATTGGGCTGGCCTGCCTGTCTGTCTGACATTCTTAAAGGCACGCCAATTAAGTTGCAGCATTTAAAAAATGTCTCGACAATTATGCTACATTTTTAACAATTTTTCAACATTTTCTCTTGCATTTTCTGTAATTGCAGCGTGAAATGCGCGAAGCTTGGATAAAATCTCGGAACGTGTGAAATTCAACAAAAAATATATATATATAAAACAAGAACCAAACAAACGTCAAAATGCCTGCGATAAAATTACTGAAATTGAATTCGGCTCCTTCGGAGCGCGAACCGAAGCAACAACATTTGTCTATTGATTGGCCCGGCGAAATTGGAAGGGCCGCACTCCGTGGACGTCAGCTCGAGTACAACAGCTGCTGGCATTTTGCAACAAATTATTTAAAAAGTTATTGCCACATTCAGCGTCATGGTGTTAATAACAATAAAACTTTATGCTGGCTGACATTGACTTTGATTTTATTGAGCGGACCCAGTGCCACGGGCATTGCTGCAGAGGCAGCAACTGTGGGCAGCCCAGCTGGCTCAGCTGTGGGCGTGGCAGCATTGGAAATTGGTAAGTAAATGAGGTGCATTACAATGCCAAATTACCTGGCCAGAATGTCAATATGTCTTTGAAGTTCGATTTTTAAAAATTAATTCTTACTCCACCTCTAGAAAAAGGAGAGAAAATAAATTCAGTTTCCTTTTAGGAGAGACAGAGAGAGAGAGAGAGAGAGAGAAAATTTAAATTTTAATATGAGAAAAATTAATTAATTTTCTTTTAGAGGAAGAGAATAAGAGAATAAGGCATCGATTTTAATAAAATTTAAATATGTTAATATTAATATTTTATTCAGATTTTCGATTTGTATTAAATTTTAATATTAAAATATTTAAATTTTTTAAATTTAAATTCGTTTTATACAAGTACCAAATTATGTTTATTGTCCGCTTATGCAACTAATTATTAACTTCCTCAAGTTATGAATATCAAGAGAAATATAAAACATTACCCAAGATATATAATGTTCAAGCCACATAAAAATCCCAAATAATATAATCAAGTGGTCAAATAAATATTTTGACAGCTATAAAAATATAATATAAGTTAACTCCCAAGTTTTGACAGATACCCTCAAAAAATTATAGCAAAGTATTCACGAAAAATTCCCCTACTTCTGCTTTTCAACACATTACATATTGTATGTTAATATCATCATATCCTCTGCAAGGGCTCAACAGAAGAAACATTTTTATGAATGGCTATTATAAATGCAATAAATTCACAGTTGCACATTTCATGTTTTTGTTTTTTTAACTCAAGTATCATCATATCATACACAAAAAAAATATTTTTAAAAATTCATCTCTGACTCATTTTGTATTTTATATATGAAATCTAAAACGATTATTTCGTATTTGTTTATTAAATATTCATCACATATGCGCATTTTGTATATAGTATATGCAGCACGAAACTTCCACATTGATACACAATTTAACCGTTTTGACCAATTCCGATCCCCAGACCCCATTGACGCTTTTTCATGCCAGCTACCTTCTCTCACATGGCCGCTGAGCACAAATACCGTCTGTTCAGTTCCCATGACATAAAATTTATGCATTTTTATTTCGATAACACGCGCTCGCACACACAAAAAAACATTTTTTTTGTAAGGAAAAAAAACTTGTTCAAAATATAAAAAGGCACAAAAAGGTACAAAGAAATATTATGGAAAATATTTCGTGTATATGTAACAAAGCCAATTGGAAATGAATTTGTTGCCATACTTAGTTGGATGGACCAAAACTCAACAACACATTATATACATACATATAGAAAAAATATGAGATATGTTTATGCATACGAGGTACAAATTGTATTATGTATATTTTGTAACGCATGAATACACTAGGATGAAGTAGAGCTTGAGCTACGCCTCCCGGCAGAGTAGAAGAACCTAAATACCAAGTACAAACATCACCCCTATAGATCAGGCGACCCTCGTTCGGCTTCATTGCATGCAAAGCAATAGCTCGCCCGGACACACGACCATTTACCATTGCACTAAATACTATTAGTTGAGGTGGGGCAACTTAAGCCACAGTCCACAAATTTGCATTTGCATTCAGCAATCAACATAGAAATCAATCAACCGCAAAGGTATTGGGGGAGCACAGGACCGAAACAAGACAGAATCCAAACATCCTGACGCTCAAGTGTTTCCCAATAACCCAAACCGTAACTAATAACTGTTAAGCAGGAGCGGGAATAGAAGCGGGAGTGGGAGCGAAAGCGGCTGCAGGACCCGCTCAACCACAACCAATTACAGAAATTTACGCAAAGCGCCAGGATGCGCCGACGACGACGTCGTCATTAATAAACATGAGCCCGGTCCTAGGTCTAGGCCAGGCTCAAGGCGGTGCAAAAATGATGGGTAGCCGTTCGGCTAGGGCATAGGCACACGGTACCCGTATACAAATATATACATATATATATATATATATATGTGTGCCCACACATATTTAGCTAGGTGCTGAGTCGCTTCGACCAAATCGAAGCCGCAGCGGTGCTTTTGATAGATGACTCTGCCCGGACTGCCTGCCAACCTGCCTGCCTGCCTGCCTGCCTGCGTCTTGGTCTTAAACTTGGACGCTGCTCATTACCATTGCTGATTGGCTCCGTCGTGGCGGTGGCTCCCAATGCTCACGTGTGTGGTCGCGTCCATCACGGCCAGCTGGCGAAGCTCTGGCTTTGTTTCTGCACTCACACCACCCCACCCCCCTCGCACACAGCTGACTGTTATTGCTGCTGCTGTGCCATTCGTCTGCTGAGCATAACAAATTATCTTGTTGTGGGCCTCTGGCTCGTTAGCGAGCAACTTGTTTGCCAAAGCCAAAGATATAACCAATTAAGGATCATCGAAGTTAATATACACTCGGAAACTTGTATATAAATATCATATCATTTCAGAATTGGGTTAAACCACTAAACAATAGTTTAATCAAATGTGTTCACAGTTTGGGATGCTGTTTGCTGTTATAAATAATTGTAGTTTAATTTAACCTAATTTTCTTGAAATATTTTGTATATTATATATTTTTTTTAAACTCAGTCCCTGCTAGCTAAATATCACTTTTACACTTTACCAATTTCCTTCCTATATTAATCTTGAAATATTTCATATTTATTCCCATTGAGAATTTCGTACTTTAATCCGTTTTGGATACTCTTGTGCTAAATTTCAATAAAATATTAGTTCATTTGCTATTCAATCAATTTTAAGAGACAGAAAACACGCATAATAAAAAATTCGATTTCACATTAGATTTTCACGGCTCTTCTCACATATGTTCCTTTATAAATTTAAATAATATTAATAAAAATAATATTGACTTAGCATTTATCTAAATCTAAGACATATTTAATAATATTAGTACTATTATAAAACTATTCTCACAAAGCTAATATACCCCAAGCGAAGTGTATAACCGGGCCAGGTCAGTAGCAGGAAATGAATGAATCTGAATGAAAATCATGTTGTCGGTCGGTTGGTTATTCGGTCGGCTCTTCGGTTTACTTTGGTCTGTTTTGCTCGATTACGAATCGGTCGGTTGTTTGTGCAGCCAGTATTTATTTAAATGCGTAAATATCTGCATGTCTGACATATTTCATTTGACCGTAGGCGCGTTGAAATGTTGCTCGAATTGCTGCGCGGCGAGCAAATAAAAAATGACCGCAGCATTTAAACAGCATCTATATATACATATATATATATATATTATTTAAATTGATAACGTTGCCGTTGTCTTTTGAAATGCTTGTAGAGATTGGCATTGAAATCGTATGCCCCGTCGAAAAATGGTGCACGCACAAGATGTTGCACTCAATATCGATTGCCGCACCAAAGATTTATGTATGACAGTTAACAATACGAGGTCAAATTGTATATTGTCTTGAAGTCGCCAGGATCGTGCATACCTAAGATTCTTTAACAAGCAACTATTGGAGTTTGTTTTAAATATTTCTCTGTATACATTATCAGTAACATTTTAAGTATATACTAAAAATAACAGGGATATGCACAAGTTGACGGAACATTAAACTCTTGTGTAATATATTTATTTATTATTTAAAAACAGATTAATTTTAGATCTGACTGTTTATGTGTATTAAATACATTCTATATAATGTAAACAATTGCATCAAACGCTCAAATCTGACTAACATAATTATTTGATCAATTTCGCTTGCAAATCTTTATGAACACGTTAATATAAATGTTGTTTTAGCCACTTGCCAAAATCTTTTAAGTGTCTGTCACTTCAATGTCTCAGTTCAATCATTACCCACACACATGCTTTCAGGCCACATTTCCCATTAATATGGCTAACAATTTGGTGCACTGAAAACGCACCCAACTAACAGACAATTTGGCTGCTTAAAGCGCTCGAAAGCAATTTTCGAATTAATTGCTTGGCCAGCCCCGTAGCCCATTTACACAATATACAATATACAATATACACCCAGGCACTTTTACTTTCTAGCCTCAAATGGGCGACTTATAATAGCGCCAGCACACTATGAAAATCCCACACACGCCGTTGCAGCGGAATCTCTCAAAAACCACTTTCCGCGACTTGCAGAAAGAAAAAAACCTGATATGGATTGGCTTTAGATGTTGTCAGTTGTCGGTTGTCGGTTGTCGCTTGGCATCTCTGGCAGCAATACGATACGATACGACGGCCTAAAACAGTGGCCAAACGCGATAAACTAAACGCCAAGCGGCAAATGCTGAAATCCATGTAATTTGGCCCACTGGCCGCCAGCTTGCAGGCAGCACATAAAATATGTATGCATCTAAAATGCAGCCACCGACCAACAGCCAGCGCGACGGTGGCAATCAAAACTAAATGCAACACAAAGCCGCAACGGCAAAGAGCGCGGCGGGGGGCACTGGCGTTGCCGATGGTGACTTGTGGCTGCCACACTAGCTGCGTCTAACTTGTGGGGCACTGAGCGGAAATTATAGAGAAAATATGGACCAGTAAATAAAGAGCATACTCTAATGTGGAGTTCAGCTAAAATTCTAGTTACATGTAAGATATAAACAAATCATTCTTATTTGCGAGCTACTTCTGTACATGTTTAATCTTGCAGCTTTAAACTAAGCAATTTCTTTCTGAATTGCAGTGTTGAAAATCTTGGTAGCTTAAAAGCTTTTTCTTGATTTAAATAATACGCAATAATAAAATAATGCCCGAAGATAATAAAACAAACTAAGAATATAGAAATAATTTCTTCTATAACTACAAACTCTGTTTTAAAATTAAACTAAAGCTTAGCTAAGACTTTCAACTAACGCCATTGTAGCCCTAACACTTAAGCAAACGCTCAAAATTACGTAGACTGCATTTTTCGTTTGCCAAGCAAATAAGCCACTTCTCACTTAAGTTTAGTGCAGATTTTAAGTTAGTTAGTTGCTTGGCTACTGTGTGCAGCTGAATCCCTTGGGTGTTTTTAACGCTTTATATACTAAATAACATGACAGCCTTTTGAGATACATTTCATTTTACGTATTTAGATGCAGCGATAACACACATTTTGACAGCTCTGGCGTTCACGGCCTGCAGGCCTATGGCCATAGCTAATGTTGCTTCCAGGTTGCAGACCTGCAGCTGCATGCCGATAGCTGATGGCAGAGCGGCGATAAGAACCGAACCGAACTGAACCGAGCTGACATGCATGTCTGTGTGCGGAAAAAAATTAAATAACAATTAATAGCCTTAGCACCCACCAAACACAGACCCAGTCCCAATAGCAATCTCTCTTCCATTACTGGGCACTCGGCTGGCCACAAGAGGGAACAGATTTTGCATGGTCAGTCGATAAATTAAAAGGCTGTGCAAACGCGCGCTGATAACTTGGCGACGATTAGGAGACAAGGCACAGCGACATGGAACATGTTTTGCTTATGGTATAATTTTTCTTCTTGTTTCTCTTTTTTTACTTTGGGATTTATGTGCGCTGCGATAGAGCGTAAAAGTGAATGTTCGAAATGTGGTGACATGCATTTAAGATACTTTGCTTATAAATTATGTTAATTTATAGCCATATCTAGCCTGCGCCGTACAAAATGTTTTACATATATGTATGTGTCGGTATCTGTATCTGTATCTGTATCTATCGCCGATAGTTGCTGTTGTTTAATGTTGCGTGTTAGATGTTTGTCACGTCCACTTCCATTTCCACAGCTCGTTTTCGGTGTTGTGCTGTATTTTGGCTACCTACAATTAATCAGCACATTGCATCCGAGCCGGACCTTTTGTTTTGTGGCTTCAAACAACCGTTGCATCCGTTAGATACTATTGCTTATTGAAACCCAATTAAAATGCGTGCGTAAATTGCTTTACACGAATCTCTCGCTCACTTTCAGCCCTAACGAACCATAGCCAAAAGTTCTCTACTGCCACGGCCTGGGATTGTTGTGGGGTTCGCTGCTCATAAAGCACGCCTTGTTGCTTTTGTTGTTTATGAGCGCCGACAACAGATACGCGTCATTGAACGCGCTTCTCGCGCGGTGTCGGCGCTGTTTGCTCCCACTTTTCCACTGATGCCAGGCGCCCCAAACTTTTTGGCGCTTTTGAGACCCTCGACAGCTCAAACAAAAAGATATAGTACGTACAATTTTGCACAGTCGACAAATAAATACCCTGCTATATATTTGACCAAATAAAGCTTTTTTAAAGCGACATAAACTTAAAACAAATTGGTTTTTATGTTAAATAAAATGTTTTCATGTTAAAAAAAAAATATATATAGTAAAAATCCAAATATAATGTGCGACAACATGATGGAAAATCTTTCCAATAAAATAAACTTATACAGAACTTTAAAAATATAATATTAAATATTAAAATACAATTTTTTACTTTTACACATTACTTCAGAAGTTAAATATATTTACATATATGAAAATGATGAATACAAAAATAAATTTATTACGAAAAATAAATTATATAAAAGTTATAAATGTCAAATGGTTTTAAGTGACCTTTTAAGCAAAGTACTTCGTTCAGGTTTTATTTAATAATAGTTTTAATGAAATGAAAAATTATTTATTAAAATTAAAATTGTCAAGGGAAAATATAGATATTGAAGTTCTAATCGAATATATTAGTTTCTATGTCAATAAGGCATTCTCATATGTTGCCAAAGCACAAATATATTTCGCTTAATTGGGGAAATACTAATTGAGCTGAAATGCAAAAGCCAAACCCCATAGGAACAATGCTAATAAAGTCTTCGAGAATATGTATGTGTTTATATCTCGCACTCTGTGGCTACTATTAATATTCCCTTTCTCACTCTAGTCTATCCGAAATGTTTGCTTACAATCTGCCATGGATTATGGATGCCGAAAACCGATTTCATGAACCAACCAATCTTACAGACCTCTTGCCCGCATAACCGCTGGCACCATGCTTTGACTTGCATTGAACTGTAAAATTTGTGCAATTTTCAATTTCATAAAGTTGCGCGGTGTTTGTTTGTGTTGTTTTACGCTCGGGCTCAAAGAACTTTGAATTATGATTATCGCAAAAAACACACAAACACAAGCACACACACACACACGAACCGGGAGCATGCGGATGCCAGCTTGGACGCACTGCAGCGGACATACCCGGCCACGCACTCAAGTGCAGTTAATTAAATTTTGTGCAATTTATTTTGCGCAAAACTTTACCAGCAAAACAACAAGTTTAACAACAGCAACAACCACTGTTGTTTGCGCCGTGCGTTGTTTACTTTTCACTTTGTAGTTTTGCATTTTGCCGTCAGAGTTTTGCGAAATAGTTTTCCACATGCCACGAGAGGGGCAAGCGAGCAGCGCATCTACTCGTTGAATTCAATAGATCTAGCCCCCGAACCACCCAATGGGGCTCATTCATTGTTTATGCAGTAAATAAAACGTTTCTCCATTTCTAGCCCATTGCCATTGATTTGGCATAGTTTCCACAGCTTTGTAATCATCACTTCTGGGATGGGTGGAGCAGGGGGAAGGGAGTTACTTCTGTCATAATTGATTACCCACACATTATATAGAAAAGCTAGAGAACTGCGCGACCATCGATCAGACAACGGGAAACATTTCTCCCAACATAGTTTTTCTTCAACTTATTTTTCAATAATTAAAAATAATTTATGAGCAGCAATATGTCAGGGCGTAATGTAAATATTACCAACTGTAAGTTGTGGCCTCGCCTCTGGTAGGCGGTTCTTAGGGGGTCTTCTTCTTGAATGATTGCAACAATTTACGGGCACTGGCAAAGTTTTGCTGTCTGTGGATAATTAAGCAATTGCGTTTTGGCTAAATGAGTTTTTAGTGCAGTGCGTCGATGATGGGCTGGGTAAAAGCCAGAACATGCCCAAGAACTAGCGGGCCCATAAGTTCTTTCCCAGTAGATAAACACGGGGGAGTAGTTCGATAGGTTTTTGAGAAGATAATTACAGAAGTAGGAATAGCGATGGGATTAGAAAGCAAAATAGGGAAAATATTAAATACCAGTGTTAATGGGAGGACGACTAAAGATATGAAGCAGGAAAAAACCATAGTCCTTATTAATAACGAACTGTCTATACTTTAAGATATATTTGATAACAAAATTATTAATATTTATTATGTGTTTTAGAATAGAAACAGAAACATGCATATTTTTAGAAAGAGCCCATAAACTGGTCTATTTTAAACGAATTTTTACTAGTTGCTAGTCCTATTTATATTTGTGTAAAGAAAAGGTTAATCAGCATAAGAAAAGTAACTCCGATAGCTTCCCACAGTCCTAAAATTATTAGTTTTGATAATTCAAAACTAAAACAAATTTTAAGGAAATATACGATTAAATTAAAAAAAAAAACGAACGCTGTGACTCTTAAATCTCTGGATTTATTAGGCTTGAAGTACCTTATAAGGACCTAAGATCTTTTGCACCAGGCTTTATAAACAATGATAAACTTTACTAACCACCCAACTATTGAAAGCGGTTGAAAATTGCCAGCACCCAGTGAAAGAGCAAGACCTAGACCAAAATGGGACGAAGGCACGACCAAAAGTTAAAAGCGCTGCTAACAGTGTTGCAAGTAAAATGAAACTACGACGACAAGATGTAAAAGTATCTATAACTGCAGATGGTGCGATAGGGCTGTCAAGTGGGTATGCTCACTGGGTGCTCGCTGAGTGCTCGGACGCGGAGAATGTGCGCCGCCGCTGACCTTTGTCTAGTTTCCTGCTTTGGCTCAGCTGGCTTTGACTTATGGTGCTTAAGCGTTGACTGATTGCATCTAATTATTCACTGAATGATAATATTGTTGATATTTTTGTCTGCCTGGCTGGAGCTGCCAAGAACAACAGTTGATGATGCTGATGACGGCGTCTCAACGACCTATTCATGACCCTTTCGCGGTCTCCTGGGGGCCGCTGGCCGCTTGAGTGGAATTTCATTTGAAGCGTCAGCTGCTGCTGCTGCTGCTGCTGCTGCTGCTTCTGCTGCTGCTGCTGCTTCTGCTGCTGCTGCTCTATTCGACAAGTGGAGCCTGAATGATAATTGCGCTTTTCATGCAGTCTCACAGATTGATGGTAAATGGAAATTGAGTCTGCCGATTGTATCTTCTTTTCTCTCTGGCCATCTTGGCTCGTTATTTGATTTGCTTTGTTTCTCGTTTAATTAATTTATGCGTTTCGCCTGACAGGTGAGAAATTCTGTTGCATAGCATTTTTGATTTGTTTTAATATCATTTCTGAATCAAGCTTTTCCCTTTGGCCCCAACATTTATGCTTATTATGTATAATATTTACACATATTTCATTTTAATTGGGTGCCATTTTTCAAGTGCCAGTTGCCTGAATTTGTGGGCGTGTTGGTGTGGAAATTTTAGCCTCGCTCGTTATGCAATGCGCTGCAGGCCAAAGCGCATCACATTATTAATTAACATAAGCAATATGGGCGAGCGAGAGAGAGAGAGTACGCTAAATTAATGGAGCTACCTTTGCTGATACCGAAACGAACTGATATCCAAATTATAATAATTTTCAGGCACCTGCAAACAGGCTTTGGGCATGGAATCTGGCGCCATTGCGGACTTTCAAATTACGGCTAGTTCGGCTCATGATATGGGAAATGTGGGCCCACAACATGCCAGGTACGTCCAATTAAAATTAAATTAAAAACAAATAAGATCCAAAGTTTAGCGTTCATGATATCAGAAAAAGAATTTAAAACAAAAAAAAAATAAACTAAATATAAATATGTCACATAACTTTTATCCGACAAACCAGTAAAAATTAAGCATCAACAAAGCCTAACTTGATGTTCGTTAGGCAAATGAAAATCGCAGAGAAGGGCGGTAAATGGAAATCGCAAGGAAGGGAAGGAAGAAGAGAAAATGGTAAGAAGAGGAAGGCAATTATTAAAAGAGTAATTGTGGTATAGGGATACATAACTGACAAAAAATTATTTAAATATTTCATCAAAATATTTGTAAATATTGCTTAAGCCCATGAAGCTCGCAAGAAGAAATGTGATATTTAAGAGAAGTCAGTAAGATAATATTTAACCTGATATTATATTTGTTGTGTAAGTAGAATTATGCTAATATGGAATGAAAATTCATGAAAAACAGTAAATAAAACGTATACAGGTCTAGTAACAAGTAACAAGTACCTTTTTATGCTCAGAAGCGCTTAAGTTAAAAAGGAAATGACTCGAATTGTAGGCTATACAGATTATATTTCTTAAACTATAGGCCACATATGTTGTAACTGATATGAATACATATACATATGCCTACAAGAAAAGGCAAAAAGGATTTTAATTACGTCAGACGACTTCATGACTTTGTATTAACCTTATCCCTGCCCTTAGGTAATACATTATTTAAGCCATCAACAGCCACAGCAACAAAACACACATGCCATTTATGTTAACTCAAAATGATAAACAAGGAACATGCATTAAAATCTGTCACATAAAAACGGTTACATTGATGATCGAAGGGCGGGGCCGAAGGCGGCTCGGTATTTCTGTATCCTGTGTACATGGAAATTATTATGAATTATTTTATGGCGTGTTTAAATGCCTTTATGTCATTTCTGCCAAAAACAAGGCAAACACACAAATGACATAAATTAAAATACGCACACAGAAACACAACAAACACACACACACACACAAACACACACTCACACACCCGCGAAGATACTTATGTAAATTATGGAAAATAATGATACAACTTATGACCGCTTTATATTTTGCTGACATTTATTTGCCTGTTGTGAAGTCGGCCAAAAGCATTTTCTGATTTATCTTCTGGGCACACATGACAAATTCGCGACGCACTTAAATAAAAATGAAATACTTTGGTAATTATTTAGAATGGCCAGAGCTGACCCCAAGCTCTGAGATCATGAATATATAATGCATAATACTGTTGCCCGTAATAAACTCCACCCACACATACATTTCAGAATAAACATTTTTATGACACACTAAAATCATTTACACAATGTGCCACAAAAACAAACAACTTTGGATGGACACCACAGAATAAAAACCCAAACAAGCCCACAAAATGTCAAGCTTAATAACTTGCGAAAGTTTCTCTCAGCCGGAAAGAAAACAAGCTATAAAATAGAATTTAGATACGAAGTTTCGGTTCCCATTGCTTAATGAATGTCCTTTAAGAGAAAATGAATAATAGAAATCGTTTTAGGAAATGCATATATCAATTGCATAGGCAGTTATATTTTTGTACAGCGATAAATTGAAGTGGTTGAGTAGTTCCTTTGGAACAATAAGGAGATCCGAGCCTAACTGCAGCATTAAAGTAGGAAAACTTTTGGAAAATTAGAAGAGCTCAAAGTTAAAGCCTTTCAAATTACGGGTAATTTCATCTAATTTCTTTTGAATGACAGCACAAAAAGAATCCAAAAATCATTTTTATAACTGATGCTCCATACTACCAAGTACATATGACCTCAAAGGTCAGTCAGTTATAAGGGGAAATAACTGTCCAAATGACCTGCAGAGACGACAAACAAAGATGTAAGCAAAATTGCGACATAACCAAAACAAAAGTAACAACAAAATGTTTGAGTGAAGTAACAAAAATATTGATTATAATGTCAATGTCGCCTAGGAGAAAGAGGGGCGTGGGGAAGGCTGGTAGCACTTGGGCGGGGGGAACTGTAAAAGTGGAACAGCAGGCAAATCGAGCCGAGGCAAAGCGCATAAAAATAAAAGAAAAGCAATAAAATTATGCAAAGTCAACAGAAAAACGACCAGCGACAGGCGACAGGCGACGACGATGCCAACAACATTAAGATTGTGGCAGAGGCAGAAGAAGAGAATGCGGCTCGGTGCCCTGGTACGTGTTGACTGCGAGGTTTCCCCAGCTGTACCCATGCCAAAAAGAACGAGAGAGACAGAGGGTCTACGGTGCGCTAACAAATGTTTGGTACTAAAAATGTCACACATGGCGTTTTGCATGTGGCGCCCGCCCTATGTGAGGGCAAAGGGAGTGCGAAGTACGACGGGGAAACGTAGCTGACTCGGGAATGTGCGTGCTCAGGCCTAATGATGCCCGCTGTTGGTTCGGTGGGGCCAGCGGGTAGCTGAACGGGCAGTTTTACGTTAAACATGCGCCAAAGTCATATGAATTTTATTACAAATGCAAAGGTTGCCACGCAGTCAGGCACTGAGAAGCGCCGAGAGAGGCGCAAGAAAACACTCAACGTGTATGATAAATGAAGGCGCGCTGCTTATTGAAGGGTTAAAGCAACAATTTTCAGTACCTTAAAAGCCAAGTCTTAAGATTTACGGGCCGCATTTGGGCCACTTGCCAAGGATACACAACAAGGCAACTTATTAGCGTAGCCTAGTTTCCAACCATAAGGAACCGAAAAATAAAACAAAAGGCGGGCGCACATTGCAAATGATTCCACAGAAGCATTCTTTATGAGCCTTACGTGACCAGAAACTCTTTGCCCATTTTAGCTGTACCTTTTCCTTCGGCGGATTTGCAGTTGCTTTGAGCTAATAAACTTCATAGCTGCATAGTTTTTCACTTTCGAGCAGTAAAGAAATTGACTTGATTTGTGTGGTAGCGCCGGAAAATTTGGTGTGAGTTTTTCGGCTGGGAAATGACAATGTGAGCGCCGCGTGTCAGCAACATGAAAAGTCCATATTCATGCGTGAATTTTGATGGATGTCGCCTAATGAAAATATGCGACGCTTTTGCTGTCATACCAATAGCCCCTCTTTCTCTACATCTCTCTCTCTCTCTCTCCGTATAACAAATATACTATTTCTCTCTGTTTCACGCTCTGCAGAGCTTGAGGGCGTATGTGTTTGGCATAAATTTTTGACAGTTGAGTTATTTTCGACAGCCTGCCGTGGGACTATATCTCTCTCTTTTACTCGCTCGACCTCTATGTCTTTCTCTATGCGGTTGGCTCACGTTTTGGTCGCCTGAATGTAGGCTACACATAAATTTGTTTCGTTGCTTTTGATGTTTTGGCCTTTGAGGCAGTTGCCTTGATAATTGAAGCAATTTAAGAAATGGTCTAATGGAGCTTCAATACACTCATGTCGCTGAAATATGGATGGAAGGTTGGCATGCCAGAAAACTGTGTCAAATATTGAGAATGGCATAGAGAGGCACAAGCTTAAGTTAACGGAAGAACCGTAAAGTAACAATTAGGCTAAAGACGTAAATTACAATTTTCATATCTATTATACTAAAAGAGAAAATATATAATAAATTATTAATATTTAAAATGGTTTTAGAAGTAAATGGGAAAAAACTAAGAAGTTATTGAAATTTATGCGAATAAACTCTGATTCCATCCATATTATAAGTGAAGTACTGACCTAATAAAATAAAATGTTTGGGGATAGTATATATACAAAATTATGCACTTATTTTTATAGCTTCAATAGATTTCATGCACTTTCTCATAGCATTATCGTTCCTTGAACTCAAAACTAGGAAAAATACTTCCCGCTTCCCCTTTGTTGATTATTTTCAGGCAGCATTCAAGCGGCACTGATTAATAAAGTTAAATGACTTATAAGTCCATTAAGCAAACTTCTTCATTCTTGCGTAAAGCAAAAATGCCAAAGAAATTAGCGAACCAAGGCAGAAAAAAACCCGAAAAACTTTTCACGTCTGCAGCTGATGGAAATACTTACACATAACATAACAAACGAGAAAACCAGAACGGGAAACAATTGCAAACATTTTACCAATACACAGCCAAAAGGGCAGCTAAACAATCGAGCTGGCAAAAAGAAAGAAAAAAAAAAAAGAATGAAGTGAACTACGTAAAATCTTATGGCAGCTTAGCATGCAATAAGCAGAAATCAATTGACCCATTTGGTTTATGTACTGGAAACAAAGGGCGGGCGACCCAACTCTGAATGCCGTCACATGGTAAATGCAAAGGCGAGAACGTTGGCTGCCTGATTCGTATTGTTTTCACATTATATTGACAGCATCGAATCAAAATCAACGCATTTTCTATTGTCGCTGCTGTCGTCGATTGCTGACTGTGAGAATTGAAAGCTGCATTTCATATGCCCCAACGCACAAAACCACAAGGAACAACTTTTCTGCACAAAACTTACAACGTTTTGCAATCAATGGAACTCCGATTGCGGTTAGAGTGCGTTCGCTGGGGGTGGGGCAGGGTTAAGGGTCGAAGCCCCCAAACGTTATGGGGTAATGTCAAAGTCAATGTGAATGCGACCAAATGTCAATGTCGGCTCAAGATAATAGCTGCAACAGTCTCTCTCTCTCTTTCGCTCTATCTCTATCTCCACTCTGTCTCTCTCGCAGTCAAATCAAACTGTCTCAGGGCGGTCCACGATGCGTATGGGAAATGCTGGCTGGCAACTTTTTTTTTTTCATTTTCTAGTTAAAATGTCTAGTTGATAACGTGCCAAATTCATTTCTTGCAACTAGCTGAGCATTGTGTGCAACTTTAAGGTCAACGTTAACATTGGGCAGACAGCGACCGTCGGTTAATTTTTGTCCGTTCAACAGAAGTGTCCTCATAATAAACGAAGTATGGTAGTGGCCGAATTTATAATAGTTTGAACAAAAAACCAAGAGGGGTGTTCACCTTATCCATTAGGAGAGTG